CTGCCTCAATTCAAGTATTTATCGATTTAGTAATCAGATAATTATTCCGCTGTAGCAAAATAATTTTCAGCTAATTGAGCGGAAAATTCATATTGAGCTATAAATTAGGTACTTTATTAACATTTCCCAATTAATTTATACTGACTGCTTGGTTGCCACAGGCTTGTGGCGTGAATTCAATAGTATATTAAAAAGCAGAATTAAATTACAAATTCGCAATAAAAGCAATTAAAAAAATAACAGGAACGAAAAGTTGAATGCCAATTTTGAGAAACAGCCATTTATGAAAAAATCTTGGTCTAATCTAAACTTGTTCTAAGCTTATTTAGAAGGCTCCAACCGACGGTTTAAAGATGCACCTTACAATAAAGTTATTTTATTTGTTATTATTAATTAATTGCATTCCTTTGTGTTTCAATTAAAATCTATGATTTTACAAGTGTTTTATTACTATTCCATTCCTGATAAAATAATGCTTTAATGGTAGAATAGAAGCCTAAAATTAGAGTTTTTGTTTGTCTAAAAATGAAAATTTAGGAGCTTTTTACCCATGCTGCGCCCTCTGTTTTCCAGCTCTAAAATGCGCTCTCCCTTCGAGAGCTGAATCGATATGGAGCAGTTTTCCTCCACCAAGAGCAGAATTTTTACAGCAGGAAAGCTAGTGCCTTTCGGGCCGATGGTATTTTGATTTTAAATGCGCAGCCTTCGCCATTGTCAATGAACTGAAGAACTTTTCACACCTCCTGTTTGGTGTTTTATCTGTTTATACTTGCGTTTTATTGTTTGTTTAGAGCCCAGTGTCTTTTACAGTTAACATTGAAATGCTCTGGATAAAATTAAGCATTTAAAGAATAATTAATGATTTTGTTTGGTTTTAAAAAGTTAATCGCGTTGATAAAAAAGGTTTTTGAATATTTTTAACCGACAAACTAAAGTAATGTAAAAATATACTGCAGATAAATTGGAAGCATGTTTGTTAAGAGAAGTCATAATAAGTTATTAATGGATAGGATGAAAAATATGAACCGAGGAAAATGTTTGATGTAATACGTGCTGGGATAACAATTTTTCTTATCAGCGACCGAAATTATAGAGCCAATCTGTCAAAATGCCTCAGCTGAGTTTTATACGGGGGTACATCTACTGCTTTCAGATTTTTGCAAGAATTTAATTTGTTTTATGTGTGTAAGATTTTTCAGTCACATGTTGGCCTTAAAAGGTTTAGATATTGTTTGAAAAGTGGGTCTGAAAGTGAACAATATGAACTAAGTACCATTTTATATTATTTCTTATTTCCAATTTTTTGAATCATAACATCTTCGATAACAAGGAAACGACCATACGCAATTTATTAGTTGAGGACTGATATTCGTGCGCGTCAAATTGTACAAAATACATTAAATAAACACCTTTCTTAGAGGCTGATAAGGCATTTAATATTCATTCATTGCTTTATTGCTTCTTTAGCAATTCCTCCAGTGCCTTTCTCAGGTTAATTCACGCATTCAGGCATGAAGAAGCCAATAAATTATTGTTTGTTCTCACTTCAGACTAGTTTGATCGGTAGAAATATGCAACTGTTGACTATATGTGTTCGTTTTTGCTTTGCAAGTAGCGATCTAGGGTCAAGTGTTCAATATTTGCGAAAGTCCCCCGTATGGGTGCAATTTCCATCAGCATATGCGGGATCCGAAACACTCTCCATTAATCAAATGGAAATATTCGGGTTCAAATTACGCTCGTGGAGGAATATAACGGAAAAAACAATAAAACAATTTAAAATTTGAGTCACGTAAGAATACGTTTCTTGCTATAAATCATCGAGCGATCTTTAAGCCGCCCCCCATTTGGCTTGCGGGGTTTTGCTAGAAGTTCGTTGTTTGCGTCCCTCTTCTTGTACAAGTCTGAAAATTAAATGCTTTACCCCAGTGTTTTCTGTGTCGCATTTGCGATACGATCAAACCTCCATAAGAGGGTATCGGTAAAATGTCGAATGTTTTGCAAATAAGTTCAACCAAGAAGTTTGTTTCACATGCTTAAATAGGACAGTTCTATTTAATTTAGCACTGAAATCCAATATGGTTCCGATGTTGGAGATACGAAAGGCTGCTGCCAGAGGGAACTGGAAAATATTATAAATGTTAACTTTAAACTAAAAAGTTTTATTGTATGCATTATGCAACAAGCAGCACGAAATGTAAAGGGATTTTCAAGACAAACTTCAAATTTACAAAACAACATATATTTTTCTATATGCGGACGACACTGCACTTATAACGCACCATAGAACTACCACTTATTGCACCTCAATGATATTGTGTTTATAAATGAAGCTGGAGCTTAAGAATCAACTTTACTTCCTTGCATAAACTTTTCCCTGGATGCAGGTATTTATTTATTTATTTAGATCAATTTTAGCCGATTCGTACAACATATTTTGCATAGATATTGTGAAAAGATTATCCCTATTTTGTATGGGGCACATAAAATTTACCCAAGAATGCGCTCTTGAGCTGACCATCGAGTAACCTGACGCCCTGTATTTAACGCGTTTAGCTAATTTAAAAAAAATTAAATTGATGAAATAGAGAGCGAAAACTCCAATATAATTTAAGCAAAACTACAATATATATATGTATATCAATTAGGTTGTCTAAATGTACAAATCTTGAATGTTTACGAGTTAGTCATGGCTAAAAGAAAACTATATTAACAATGGCGATTTGTTTTAATTTATAATCTTAATGCAGCAGATGTGGCGCCTGCGAGATGCCTGACAAAGTTGATTAACATCTGAATTAGTTTCTGGTTTAGTTTACATGTTTTAACGTGAATGTGCGTTGAATGGCGTAAATGTAAATAATAAATATTCGCTAATTTAATTTGATGCAACTGTATTGTGAACAATTCGGCGCCAGGTCGTTCAAAAAATGCTGAGTAGGTATGGATTTTCGTCTTTTGTTGGTCTTTTTGACGAATTGATAAATTTGCAAAACGCCAATTAATTAATTTGTGTGTGCCCTTGTGACTAAGTTAATCTGCAGATTGCAAGCCCAATGTTATTCCAAACTTTTGTATATGTTCAATCGTGCGACGATCGAATCGTTTTTTGCAATGGTTGAATCTTTCAGTTAGGAGAAATTTACTAACAAAGTTGGGAATAAATCTTCGTTTAATGGTACTACCTGATTTCACCCATACGAATTGATTGGTTAATGTTTCTTTAAGAAGTGCTTTATTTATGTTTTCCTAGCTGAAATGGTTGAGAACAATTGTATTACTTAAAACGTTTTTCACTATGTTTTACGCCAACTAAAGCATATGAGTTCGAATTAATATCCGGAGATCCAACCAGCCAAAATTTTCTGAATTTTCAATTTTCGTCTATCATCTTTCTCGTCGTAATCCTTCACATTTGCATTTTGATCATTTCGGTTGCACACATTTTTATAGCAATACATTAATTCTATGCTTTACAACCCAAATTAGGAACATTTTTTCACTTAAAGACAACATTGCAAATGCTTGTTTTTTATTACACACAATAGTTGAATCTTTTGTAGCTCTTCACTGTTCAAATAGCAAAAGGGCTCCTATTTTTCCGTGGGAATGGAAGTTTTTCATTATCTTGTTTAATTAAACTGTTCGATTATTACATTTTTAACGTTTCTCTTTCTGCATTTGATATCTCGAAAACTGTTGACCTGAGAAGGTTTGAGGAATTAGACGTTTGTTGCTTGATAAGGGAACAAATAAAATGTTTTTGACAAAGAAGTAAAGGAGTGAATTGAAGGCAAACAAAATATAGAAAGAAATGAACTACTAACGGCTAATAAATCGATATTAGAGGAAAAAAATGTACGTTTTTTTCTTTAAAATAAGAGGCTGACCGTTGAAAAATCAGGCAAACAATGTGAACTTGTTTATATTAACGTTCAGCTAAGCGAAGAGAATACAAGCCATCAAGTTTATGTTATTTTATGTTCAGATTCGGAAAAATTATTTAGAACCTAACTGCGTATTATTTGTGTAAAAGAAGTCAGTTTATAAAATTCAACAAAACAATGTTTATATATCTTATGTCGCTTCTACTAAACAAAATCTGTTTCAGCTTTCAGGTGAATTTTCTTTCTTTTCTATGTGCATTTAAGTTGGGACGGATTTATCGTTGAAAGTATAAAATTATTTTTTTTTCGAGTGATTCGTAATGTCTTGTCTGTTTTGAGGCAGGTAGGTACCTATAATATTAAATGTGTTTGATGCCGTCCTATTATTAAAATAAATAAAAACATTCTTCGATTTGACCACTGTTGTCACACTTTTGGTTTTATACCTACGTACGCTGTTATTTATTTGATTTGTTGTTAGATTTGCGATTGTTCTTTCGTTTCCATTTTCATTCTGTCGTTGACATTGCACTATATTCATTTTCCAAAATCAGCACAGATTTTTGAAATTTTATTGTAATTTTTAAATTATTAGCGAAAAATGATACTGTTCGTGTTACTATTAGTTGAAACTTTCGACTTTAGTACAAACCAATCACAAAGTAAATCAACCTCGCTCAGACAGCGACGAACTGGACAAATTTGCCAGCATTTCACTAAAACCAAGGAAACCAAATTCAGATTAGCCAAATGGAACATGATTTTCTAAAGAAAATTTAATCTTCTTCCAGAAGTATTTAATTCGTGTCCAACATTACAAATACGTACGAGACCGAGGGACACTGGAGTTAAAAATGCTTGATTTTTGTAGCTTCAATTTGCGAAATACATGGGGCTTTATAAAATATATTACAAATTTTACTGCTTCTCAAACATTTCATGTTCTTGAATCTGCAGCTCTGGTATAAACGCAGGCAAGATTCTCATTTTGGCTCTCCAGAAGGCATTTATTCCCATCTGTCCATGAAAGCAAATTCTCGTATTTAACCATTTAACAACAGAAAATTGGACAATTTTTCGGTTGATTAAAACCAGATGGTTTCCATGTTGCAGATCCACAACAAAAGATGAGGATTCGAGCAAAAACCAGCCTGTCCAGGACATCCAGCACCAGCAGCGGCTTATCTCAAAGGCCCCATTCCGACTTCTGGATAATGACGTCAAAACCGCCTGGATCAATCCAAGATTAATATCAAAGGTAAGCGGATAAGCTACGTTTCCAGTTTTGTATGTGACGTTATCGGTATTTCGCTGTTTGGAAACTTGTTAGAGTGGAATTAGAATGCCGGCGATAATTTCTCCGGGCAAAACACAAGCGAATGATAAAGATATTAGCCAGCGATGGCAAAAAAAACGCTGCAGGAAAATACTGCCAAGATTATCTTTACGGTAAACAAGTCTCATCAGATTATTCACGGCTTATTACAGTCAATTAGATCAGTTCATTAAGCGTATAGACGTCCATTATCAGCCTCTTAGTCGTAATCTTGCATCTTGGATATGCTAATGGTGATGGCTTGTTACCAGTTTGTAAATACATATATGTCATGGCAGCCTTGCATTATAGAGTGAATTCGGTGTATTATTTGAAATAACGTTTTGAAAGTTTTAGGATTTTTTTACGCTCTAAATGGGGAGAAAGAATGCGAAGAAAGACACTCTTGCATTTGAGTAATTAAAAAACGAATTGAACTAATAAGCACTATTAATTAACTGTATTTTTAGTTGATTTGATTTATGGTTTAATACCGGGAACCGTGCGACTTAACATGGGAAGCAAATATTCTCAATTAGCAAAGTGGCTTAATTGCTGAGTAACAAATCGCTCATTTGTCTGCTGGTGTGAATCCCATTGTTTTGCGATTTAATTTATTATTCCATAGTGTGCGGTTTACATTTTCGCGTTAACTTGAGATTTCGTTATAGTCAAACATTGGTTCGTATTTTACATGGATGCTGGACGTATTTGAGTTTTAAACTGTTCGCCTGTACAGCAAGTTTTTTTCAAAAATTTACCAAATTTACCCCTGACAAACTAGCAAAAAAATTGACGAATTTAAAATGTATTACAAACGTTTTAAATAGTTGAAAGAAATTGAACCAATTTGCAATAGGTGTGTTCTGACAAGAAAATTGAAGATAAAGAGGAAATTTTTGAGTTTAAAAAGGATCAAAAAATATGTATTTTTAATATTTTGTCTAATTCGTTTAGCAATTAAGTTGATTTCCTGGAAATTCGAATGATTATCAACATTAATATTATAAGAATTTATATGATTGTAATATACAATTGTTTAAAACGTTTTCCTGTTTGTATCTAAACGGATAGAACGATCCGATATGATAATTTTACTTAATACTGAGACTCGTTTTTTTCAATTTTTCCCATTAAAACTATTTTTAGGCACTTGTTGGAACTACTTGAATGCTCATTGGGTTTCTAAATCATTGGGGGAGCATAAGAAAAACTCCGAAAACTGATTCGTATAAAAATAATCTGATAAAGAAATGTACCTTATGAATTCGCTTTTGTACAATGTTTCTGTTATCAGCAATTTATTAGTTAGGAGAATGTTTGGCATTCCCAGCTTTTGCTAACACTTTCTAGACGACGAATATAAAGAGCGATCTTTTAATACTGCGGAAGATGAGCATATTTGCAGCACCAGATGAGCATAATATTCTATATAGGAAAAGAAAGTGTTACTCCACCAACATCACTTGACTCATCTTGTATAAATTCCGTTCGATCGTGGAAATTGCAACTAGAGAAAATAAAGATTTAATTACCTACAAGTTAATTAGATCTTAATATGTATAAAGCTAATTGGTATATTTGCATTATTTAGCAATTAGTAAAGCAAACGGGCGTTTTATTTAAATGAAAAACCTTTCTTTTTGTGTTAAATCGCAAGAAGGTACACGGTTCTACAATATTCAATCGCTGGTCATTTCATCATGAAATTTTTCCGTTTTCTTCAGTTAGATTAACTTCAGACATGTTGTTAAACTGTAGGCACATTAATGAATTAAAATATTTAAAGTAAAAATGCGCAAAAATATAATGAGACAATGTAACTTTTGCTGCATGTTTTCGGTAGTTTTTTTTGTTGAATTATCATTAACGCATTGAAACTCCAAGAATCCGGTCGCATTAATAATAATTACTCTGATCATATCCCCAGTCGAAGAAAAATCCGATTAATAACACTGATCCGCAGGTTTCGGTTGAAAAATGCCAACTATAATTACGACTTAAAAAACGGCCTTAGTAAGTCTTAAAATCATTAGCGAATTAATTCCATTCCATAAGGGGAAAGATTAATTATGTGCCCGATGATGAAGATATAAATCATCACCTTTATGTCTCCGCATTCCTCCAGTAGATCTTTGGAAATTAAAACCGGGGTGACTTTATTCCTGTTTCAAGGGACGCGTGTTGCATTCTTAATTTTTTTCATATATAATCCACCACCAAGGATGGTTGAAAAATTTATTTCGGTTAAGCTGTTTTGTCATTTTGAGATTTTTTTATTTGGCAAACATAAATATCCTAAACGAAAAAAATTAATTAGATAGGTAGATAGATGAATTAAATATTTATTGATATATTTACTGAAAAGAACTGCAAAATCAGCTTGCAGAACTTTTTGAAATACATATAATAAAAATAATAATCAAACATTTTTTACAAAATTGACTTTTTATAACGATAGCTTGTAATAAATAATTTTTATTATAATCCTTGATATCATATGTTCTCTGTGCTTTCTATTGAAGATTTTCAGACTGGTTTTTTGAGTTTTTGCTGTGTGTTTTCAAACACAGCTTATCAACGGGAACCGTGCAATTAATCAATTTAGTCCATTAAAACTGCTATGATATTTTGTTATGAAAATTTTTAACAAAATCCTAATAACAGGAAATCCTATTACAACTTTCTAGCTAAATAGCTGAATTTTGTTTAGCAAACGGTAACATAAAGAATTTCGCATTTGGAAAGAAACATTTCCAATCTCATGTGAATTTAAATTAATCCCTGTTTTATATTCAAAGGATCTTAATGCAGTCGCTTTCAAGATATTTGCAATTTAAAAATCCACTATCCATTGAGGAAATCTTTCTTCAGTAGAGTACCGATCGTAATTTTCAGCATGCGTGTAAACTAAACGAACGGCGCAGCATAAGTGATGACCACACGATCAAAGCATCAAATTTAATTGATCGTTTATATTTTGCTTAATTTCAAGCCCAAATCGCACGCATTGATACAGTTATTTAGAGAATTTGTCGTTAAACTTGTTGCTTCCCAGGCTCTTTGGGCCGCTAAAAGTCCTGATCTGAAGCCATTCGAGTTTTTCTCTGCAATTGATTAAAAACTTAAGTGATAAATAAGCAAGGGATTTGCCAAATAAGTTAGTAAATGCTACCAACTAAAGGTTTCTTTTCCTAATTTGCACATGCTTAAGAGAAACAATCCCCATAAGTGATATAAAGCATTGACGACAATAAAGCATTTTACGAGGCTTTCAAACTTTCTTGCTGAATAATAAGTATATCTGGCGCTTAAGAGTAATACGCACATAATGCATCATCTTCACCCTCGAAAGGGCCCATAAAATAAAGAAAATCTTCTAGTTACAGTGCCTAAAGTCAAAAAGGAATCATAATCCGTTTGAGTCGAAGGGGCTGGGTGCGTAAAATCGCATTTTCTCTCCTGCTCGTGTGAAGGAATTGATGTCGCGGAATGAAAATAATATTTAAGGGGTGGTTTATGGCGAAACTTTGCCTTGGGGGGGCCGACTTCAGTAGCAGTGACTAAGTGACAAATGTGGAAAGTGCTTAGTTGCTGTTATTTCAAGGAAATCTTTGTTTTCCACTTTATGATTAATCTAAATGGAGTTTGGTTTTTCTTGTTTATACATACAACAATTATTTAACGTAATGTTTTTAATTCTATTCAAATGACAGGCTTTCTTTAAATCAACGCAAAACTCGTCAAAATTTTGAGAGTAAAAATTATTTTGGATTTTCAAATGCAGTAACTCGACAAGAATTACCGCAGCAGCACTAAATATTTTTTAGATCGTATTTGATGGAAGAAACGCTATTGATATATAGACTATGAAGACTTACTTCTGACATTATAAACATAAATATTTGATAGTTCAAGATCAATAATTCTTACAGGCACAGATAGGAGGAATTTTGGCTCTTGAAAAGCCTTTAAATTCCATCTCCAGCTCATAAAAACCTACGCGTTCTAAATTATATTTCATGCTTCTGGTTTTCAAAAAACTTGCATTTTGATAGTTCTAGTCAGCTAGCTAGCAGTTTCATTAAACTTTTCTTTTACCGACACAGTGCAGTTGATTTAAATCATTTGAACATTTCAGTTTAAAAACAGCTTTCATGTATTTTAAGGTACACTTTTTGGGGCGTTATTGGCTTTTTTAACTAGCACCTGCCACGGTTTTAATCATAGTTCTGGAAAACGGTTCTATTTAGCTAATAAAACGATGAAGATTGAACGGAAATGACGACCGAAATACAAAAATATAGAGTGTAGAACAAAAGATATCGCTCAAGCGGATCTTCATGTAATAGAAGAGACGGTTAAGTGCGGTCACGTAGCAAACTTGGTGTTTTGCGGCGGCGAATATATATTAGAAATATAGACGACAATAACTACCGCATTTGATACGTGAGCAAATTAATAAGATATATATATCCAGTGCGAACCATAATTTGCTACATCAGAAATATCAGAATTGCCTTTAAAAGGATGGGTTTCTTTAAACCGTACACTGTTCGGTTTTGCAGCCACGGTCCAATTAATCTTTCATGCTTCCAACAAACTCTTTGAAGTTACTGCATATACCCATACCACTAATATGCATAAATGCTCGTTTCACACCTCCAGCACCTAGAGATTGCAACTTGACACCCAATCATTTACATTTTAAATTCCAGGTCTGTCTGGCAAAATATTCGGTTACATTTATGGCACGTTTTCCTATCTGAAACGAATCGTCTCGAATTTATAATCCCGCAAGTAAAGGGAATGTTTTCAATGTAACTAAAACATGTATACAGAACCAATCAGGATCAGATTCGCTTTTTGGGATAATAATTTCGTACTAAAATAGACCAATTTACGATTTGATTCAAAGGGTTTTCATAGAGATATTTGAAGCC